TAAGAAACGAAAGATTTCTCTTGGAATCTGAAACTATACAGCCCTTGAGTTTCCAAACTTGTATGTATTCGGCACGCTTCAACAGAAAATTTACGTTTAGGTAAATATTTACTGTTGCGGGCCGAATACATAAATTTAATATAGTTTATTTATTTTATCGAATGTAATATCATTTTTCGTCACAATTGTTGATATCAGAAATTTTTGTTAAGAGCGCTTTCGCCACTACTTTTTACCTCGTCAAGAGGTGTTTTTGTTTGATATACATTTATACATAGAATTGAATATCTACTGAAATCGTCCGATTGTTTCAAGTGATACATCAATCGAAAGGTATTGCAAAAACTAAAAGAATTGCTTACCAAGACTAAACAAAAACAAAAATTTGGGAGAAAGAGCGTTGAAAGTGTAAAAACGAAAATTTGATCTGTTGGAACCGGTGGGGATAAACAGCCTCCGCTATTAACCTACTTGTGTTCTCACTTAAAATACGCGTCGAATGACACCTAAACTGTCAAAATAGGATGCTCCGTTCAAAAGTATTACGCAAAACAAGATTTTGGGGGACTTATGAAAATGAAAATTTTATTTTGTTTGCCAGTTTGTCCCAAAACGTTATTTTAGAGTCCTGAAAATTCTAGATGATGTTAAACAGCTTAATAGGAGAAACTTTACTTCTACCACTTTTTGGAAAACTAGCTAGTTTGACGAGAAAACAGATATACATAAATAGATCAATTTTGGACACCCGTAACTTGTGAACTACTAAAGCTACAGGCTTGTGCTAAATATCGTAAAAAGGAATTTCAAAATACTTTGTACGCCTTTCGAAACGACTTGAATTCCTTCTCTGCGTAAAAAACTTCTGACGAAAACTAAATTGCACTCTTTTCAAACATCACCGTGGACGGCAGTCGACTCTGCGACGAAGCCCACTGCATCACTGCTGTGATGGTCCGATCATAGCTAGTGGTACAACAATCAAAGGAAAATACCATACTGATTCTCTTTGAATCGTCTATCCATTTTCATCATGACTTTAAAATTGGTCATTTTTATAATATTCCTCAAAAATAATCTTTATTTTTAAGTTTTATAATAAAAATTAAAAATAAACACTATTCCTGAGCAAAAAAAAATTAAATTTTATTCAATTTTTAAATAAAACTCATAATGATTACGGTTCCTTGTTTTCAGATAAAATCAATGAAATAAAATAAATTTTACAGTTAATTAATTGCATTATCCACAAAATTGTTGTTGAATTTTATAATACAAATATTGAAGGGATTTTGTCTGTCCAAGAAATATAAGCCGCCACTTGGGAAACGGGACCTATCCAAATTCGTTCGCCCGGAAAACAAATAAACAATTGAAACATAGTTTTCTAAGGCACACAACTCCACAATTCCGTTTCCACCTCCATAGCCCATTTTCCACTTGTTTGCCACCAATTCTTGCCTTGTAATTATTTTCATTACGTCATAAGCAGGCAGAACAGCGAAGTCTTACCCAGGCACCCACCCCCTTTCGCCAGTCGGGCGTTCCTCTGGGTTTTGTTTTGATTCGCCTTGGCTTTTAATTTGGCGCGTCTCTGGTGCGCTAGAAACAATTCCTTCGCTGCTCCATTTTCGCAAAATGCGTGCGCGAGAATAGAAGAGATTCTCTCCGCGAAAAAATGTTTCACCAAATGTTTTGAACGAGACAGACCCAGAATTCGGGCATCATTGATGGCTCTTTCGCGCTTATTTTTATGTGCATATAAAAGTTTCTTTTACATAATAGTTTGTTGATTTGATTCGATTTTATTGTTGGTTGTACTGCCATGAATTGCTAATCGGACGCTTATTTCGCACAGCTCTGAAAAGCAACAAATAAAGGCCAGCCAAAATAAAAGCGTGGCAATTAACTTTGACATCTGACGAGCACGCGATAAAAGTTATCGATGACTGGATGGTTGGCGTTGGGGTCGGGGAAGGCAAACAAATATGATTGCTCAAATGACGCGTAAAATAGGCAACAAAAGTGGAATAAAAGTTAAGTAAGTTGAAGAACAAGATGATATGCTAGCTAGGGGGTTGCATTTCCAACAAGACGATTCAGATGTATTTAAAAAGAACACAACACACACACCTGGAAATCACTCTCACTTTTATTCCCTTTATGTGTATGTATCTCCATCTCTGTCCCTTTCAAATTGATTGCATTATGTTGTGCCCGAAAACAACAACACAAATCGCTGAAACAGCTGAGCGTCCGTCGCACACACAAACAAAGTCCCACACGTGCTGTGCTTTCAGCCCAATTAATACTAAAATTAGACGTGTGCATGTATGTACATATCAAGCCCGGAATAACTTACAGCATTATCTTTGTTTTTGGTGCAACGACTGCCCGGCAATTAATTCGAAAAGTATTACTCTCACGGCACAGAACACTCATTCTGTAATTCTCCCGATCGCAAAATGTTTCATCGCGAAACGCCGCATAAATATTTCGAGTACACACACAAGCGTCAATCCAATCTTTCAGTTTTTAACAATGTGACCAGTGTGAATTATAGATCAATTACACCGTCCGACGCAAATAAATATACTTTTTTAACCTCTTTTACTTTTTCTTAAATATTCTAATTGGTCACACTGCAAGGAAATGTTAGCTAACAGAGAAGCCCTTGGCGTATACGCAATTTCTGAGCCGCCCAACAGCAGAGCCCTGTTGTCAGCATTTACCTACACGTCATCTATAACAGCGCTTACTAATACGTCATTTACAACTTTGAAAGGATAGAAAAGAAAGAAATATACATTTCTAACATCTTTTTTTATATATTCACTTAAGTTCGATCGCACTAAAAGCTTATTTATACAAGGAGTTATGGAGTTATTGGGTTATTGGTTTAAATCCTAGTATTCAGAGAGCTAAGAGTTTCACTAGTCGGAAAATCGAATTCTTTGTAGCAGGTGGGTTTGATTTATTGACAAACGAAAAATTGAAGAATTTAAAAAAGACGAATCTGATGGTGCAAAAAGAAATACAAATAAATGGAATGTTGAAAGGATGTTTTTATTTATGTTAACAAGGAAGAACGCTATAGTCGAGTACCTCGACTATCAGATACCCGTTACTCAAAGGGAAATGGAGATATGCAAGCAGCAAAGCGAAATTAAAATGCGCCACCTACCGGCGGTAGACAGATTTAGGCTTTATGGGCGTTAGAGTGGGCGTGGCAAATTTATTTTTGGATCAATCGATAGGTATTGACGACACCAATACATATCAGTTAAAATTTTTTATCTAGCATGCAAATTGTGGGCGTCACAGGTTTTCGCGGTTTGTGGGCGTTTAAGTGGGCGTGGCAAACTTTTTTTTAGGTCAATCGATAGGTATTGATGAGAACAATACATTTCAGTTAAAATTTTCTTTCTAGCATCAAAACTGTAGGAGTTACAGTTTTGGGCGGTTTGTGGGCGTTAGAGTGGGCGTGGCAGTCTACTGAAACAAACTTGCGCTGCGTAAGAAGCTCAGGAATCTGTACGCCAAATCTCAATAGCCTAGCTCTCATAGTTTCCGAGATCTCAGCGTTCATCCGGACGGACAGACAGACGGACAGACGGACAGACGGACAGACGGACATGGCTAGATCGACTCGGCTAGTGATCCTGATCAAGAATATATATACTTTATGGGGTCGGAAACGCTTCCTTCTGCCTGTTACATACTTTCCGACGAATCTAGTATACCCTTTTACTCTACGAGTAACGGGTATAATTAGTAGTTAAGCCTTCCTTCCCTTGACAAGGATACTTCGCCATTTTCTCCGCGCCATTTGGCAATGGCTGGTTAATGGATCCTCTAGCTGGCTCCACCCTATAGAAGCCAGAGCGTGCTGCAGCTCCGCTCTAGCTTCCAAATAGCTGGTGGTGGTCGAGTCCCGTGAATTCCCAATGGAGGGCTCGTCAGAGATCGTATTACTGGTGGTTCTCCTTAAAGTATACAAATACGTTACTAAAATCTTTTGGACAGAACTTACGTTCTTTGCAAGGATCAAATTTCCTATACTTTGCGCGGCGTTTATCGGAGTTCACTCACGAAATATGGTATTTCCTTAGCTCATCTGAGCCACGGTAAAAAACACCCGACATAGAGCTTTAGTCGCCTATTTCCCTCCAGCTCTCCCCTGTGGCTAGCTTCCGTTTTCGTCGATATGAGTACTAGGCTTAATCCTTTTTTAGTAAGTTAAGTAGGTATTTATTTGAATTTATTAAAAAAAAATTTGAAAGCAGCTTTAAAAAATGTCAGCCTACGTTACTGTGTCATGACAAAATATTCAATCCTTTGGTCATACGCGGCAGCGCAGGCGCTGCTTGACCTATACAAGGAAGCACTAACGCTCAGTGTTAAAACCAAAACACACAACAGCTGACATAACCCGATGAGCCCCGTGTACACACTTTTTTGGAGTAGTAGAGTTATTGCCTTAATCGATAGGTAACAAGTCTTTTATAGGGTATTATGACAGAGGGCTTTTCTGCTTTTTTTTCTATAAGAAAAAAAGCTGATCTAACGTGCTAGATACAGACGGGGAAAGTGTTATTTCAGAATTTTAGGTTATGTAATTTATGTACTGGCCGCTTCGGTGTTTATTTTGGGAAGGAAATGCATGTACACTGCAAGGCGCAGACCAAGGAGGCTTTCAACGGCTTAGAACACAGCATATGTTTTCACCGTGAAAACATATATTGCTTTGTTCTTTTAAGGAAATGACCAAATCTACCTTATGTCCTTCTTGACAATACTTTATTTTTTATTTAAAGAAAAAGCCATTTGTAGGCACATCATATCACAAAATTGTTGCCTAAAATAAATTATAGTGAAGGAATCTTATTTTCCTTTTTTTTCTTTACTGGGAATTCTCTAAGTGCAATTTCAAGCGGCTGTGTGCGGAGGCTATACCTTGATGGCCTGTTAACTATCGATAACAGAGCGTGTCGATAGGAGCCAATACCATATGTGAGGCAGAAGAAGAGCGAAGAAAACACGGGAAACTCCAATGTTTTGGAAATAATTTGATTAGCGTGCAAGGAGAGTGCTGTAACCGCAGAGGAGCCGGCAGTGATCATATAAATACACTCCCCCGAACAGGAAGCACCGAGATACCCGAGCTCACCCGTGCGCGCACCTATGGCCAATAGAAACATGCGTAACACCACCAAAGTGGAAGCCCTGATCGAGAGCTGCCGCAGCGAAGGCAAGTGGCAGCGGGTTATCGAGCTGACTGACGAACTAAAGACCGGGTCGCCGCACAACGGTAAGAAGGATGGCGCGGATAATCTTACCGGTACAATGACTCCTTTTTCCTGAACCAGAGTGTCTGGCCAACTTCCTAGTGGGAGAGGCGCGGCTGGAGAACTACCTGGAGGACAACGCACTCGCTGCCGCCGACTCCAACTTCGGGCGTGCCAAGACTGGCTTGGCCGAGGCCCGGCGGTTCCTCCACTTGGCCCTGGGCGAGAGCGGGCAGAAGGCTGGCATTGCCCTGGACGCCTACCTGCTGCTGGCCAAACTGTGTTTTGCCTGTGGCGAGTATGAGCAGAGTCTCGACAACTTCGTCAAGGCCGAACTCAACACGCTTGCGGAGAAAGAGCTGACTCTGTATGTTGTTCTTATTTAGCAAGATATACAAATCAATGGTTTTTATACTGTATCCCAAACTGTTAGGGACACATAGTATTATGAAGCCTTTGCATTCGGGTAGCTTTTATCTAGATAAAAACTGTATTATTAGGCTGTATAGTTGCCCGCTATTTATAATACTGACCAGTAGATTACTTCGTGAACTAAACTGTCACTATTATTTTTATTATAACCGGCCTACAGTAAATTGTTTGGTCTCAAAATTTATTTTCTTCATTTTAACTGAGACATTTGTTAAAGCAATTCTAAATTTTTGTCAACATATCTACCTTCAGATTCTTTAATTCCCAATTATTTTATAGTCGCAGTCTCAAGATCCTGGCCGAGTCGTATGCCATTAAGGGACTGTGCCTAGAGCAGCAGACTTCAAAGCCGTCGTCCAAGTTCAAGAAGGCCGAAAAAGAAACAGAAATGGTAAGATTTTCGGTTTTTTTTTCCTAAGAACTCCCTTCACTAGCTTGGTTTAAACTCCGTAGATAACCTGCTTTGAGCGCGCCACCGATCTGGGCCTACTGTACCTGCAGGAGTACGACATCGTGAGTGGAAGCAGCAGCTCATCCAACAACTCCACTGCTGGTTCCACGCTGAACGTAAACGCGTCAAGTGTGCAGCCTTCGAGCAGCAGCTTTGCCATTAGCAGTACCATCCCGGCGGGTGGGCCCACTGGCTTGGAAGTGAACCGCAGAATGGGCGCCATTCTTGAGACCGCCCTGCAGCGGGCGCCCATAGTGCTTATCAAGACGGAAAAGCTTCAGGAGGCGGTTGAGCGGTACCGAATCATGCTCAACGCGATCGAGACGCGGGCCACTCAATCGCTACGCCTCACGCTGGCCCGTCAACTAGCCGAGGTGCTTTTAAGGGGGGTGTCCGGCACGATTTATGCCCCTCCCTTTACCGGAAAGTCGGGCGGTGGAACCCTGCGTGGAGGATCCTCCAAAAAGCTTTGGAAGCCAAGAAAATACTCAGCCCGCCAGCAGTTCAACCCACGAAATCAGCAGGAGGAAGTGATACTGCTGCTACTCATCGCCGAAGCTCTGGCAGTGAGAGATACTGTCTTGTCACAGAGTCCTGAGTTTCGGCAGGCCCGTCAGCATGCTATGGGCAACGTGACAGCAGTGTACGATCTTCTGACCCTAGCCACTGTGCGCTGGGGCCTTGTCCAGTTGTTGAACGAGTCCTTCGAGAAGGCGCTGAAATTTAGCTTTGGTGAGCAACATGTATGGCGGCAGTATGGTCTGAGCCTTATGGCAGCCGAAAAACATTCACATGCTCTGAGAGTACTGCAAGAGTCAATGAAGTTGACGCCTGGCGATCCACTGCCTTGTCTCTTAGCATCGCGTCTCTGCTACGAAAGTCTGGAGACGGTAAAACAGGGCCTAGACTACGCTCAGCAAGCGCTTAAGCGCGAAGTGAAGGGTAAGTTCGGCTATGCTCATGGTAGCACTAAATTAATAAGTCATGGTTTATATCGGTGCTGTGAATTGAATTCATTATTCTTGCTTATCCAGGCCTGCGACCATCGCGCAGTCAACTCTTTGTTGGCATCGGGCACCAGCAGCTTGCTATCCAGTCGAACCTAAAAAGCGAGCGGGATGCGTGCCACAAGCTGGCTTTGGACGCGCTGGAGCGGGCTGTACAGATGGACGGGAACGACCATCTGGCAGAGTACTACTTATCGTTGCAGTACGCGCTGCTCGGACAGCTGGCAGAGGCGTTGGCCCACATCCGTTTCGCGCTAGCGTTGCGCATGGAGCATGCTCCCTGTCTGCACCTTTTTGCACTGCTGCTGACAGCTTCGCGGCGTCCTCGGGAAGCCCTTGGGGTGGTGGAAGATGCTTTACACGAGTTTCCTGACAACCTACAGCTTTTACATGTTAAGGCACACCTGCAGTTGCACCTGGAGGACGCGGAGACTGCGCTGGGCACTGTTCAACACATGCTGGCCGTGTGGCGGGACGTCTACGAGGCCCAGCTAGCGGGGGAGGAGGAGAAACACTCGGATACCAAGAGTGGTGTGCATTTGCCACATTCCTCACAGATGTCCGACAAGGATTCAAGTAAGTACTCGAAGGCTTCCGCCCGTATCTAACTTATATATGTAACTCTCTCTCTAATAATGTGAATGTTCTGTGTATATATACTTGTGTATATATATCTATACAAATATTTGTATCCCACCTTCTGCGGAATGTCTGTTTATAACAAACCAATAAAATTCGCAAAAACAATTGTAAGTTTGCTATATAAAGTTCAGGTTTAGCCAAGTCTTGATGGCGATTGCATGTGGATCGAACTTGGCTAGAACTTGAATTCGCTTCATTCCTTTTTCTAGTACCTTAGTTTGCTTATAGCGATTTTCTAATATTTGGTCTTTATTTTAAAATTCACCTTAAATTTCGCATGTGTAATTTTATCGCTTTTTACGTTCGACTTAAATGACAAGGGAATGTGTTCATCAGAAAATAAACAAGGAAATAAACTTCGGCAAGCCGAAGTTTGTATACCCTTGCGGTTATAATTATTAAATTTAAACATACATAAAATGATATTCCCAATAGTATAAGATAATATGTCAAAAAACACCAAAGCTATAATTTGTTTCATATTATTTTTCCACCAGTTTTCCGATCGTTCCTATGGCAGCTATATGATATAGGCTTCCGATTTTGATAAAATTAAATTCGAAATTCAGAACTAATTAAAAAATGTTATTTCCAAGCGTAGGAGGTTATATAATAAAAACCACCGAAGCTATAATTTGTTTCATATTATTTTTCCACCTCCCTCTGCAAGGGTATAAAAAAAGTATATGCAATAGTTTTACCCAGGGTTAAAAAATAACTCGTATTTAAAATAACTTATTTTGGTTTTTTCAAACTAACAAATCACTAACAAGGGAAAGCCATGAAAAAAATTCAACAGCACCACTGACATTATTAGACATTGTATTTTACATGACCACAATGATTTTTATTTTTCTGAGTTTCTGTTAGTTTTATTTTAAAATTGACAAATAAAATGTATTCTCTGAGTTTTATTTTTCGCTTGAACAAAAAAACAGTTATTCCGTTATTTAAATAATAAAGCTTATTATCTGAGTTTTATTACTTCGATCAAAAATAAAACTCGAAGCCATACTGTGGCGGTTTTTTGGTTCATAGAAATGTAATTCAAAATTTAGAATACTAAATGCGGTATTGGCCATTTTTTAAGATTTTCTTCAGATACTATAGACCACGGTTAGTATAAATATTTAATAATCAATGTGTCAATATTAAAAAGTAACACTTTGGGAGGAGGAAAGATTTGTCTACCCATACCTCTACGAAATGACAAAAATGGTCCATGCTGTTCCTGCTACCCAAGTTGGCGTTGAAAGGTCCTTTTCCGCCCTGCAACTTATTCTAACGGACCTCAAATGCGAACTTTTGTCAGAGTCAATAAAAAACTTATTTGTTGAACTAAACAAACAATTTTAAAAAAATACAACTTAAAATTAATGAGTTTATATCAGTCGATTAACTTTTTGCATTCTTTTAATAACACTATCTGAACCTAAAACTCAAAAAAAATGGTTTCACCACGGACGAGAATCAAAATCCTATTCCCTGTTTCGGGGGCCACTAGGCCAGTATAGACAATTTATTTTGTTAACCGAAAGCGTACTCGTATATTTAACTGGTCGGAATCTAAAGACTGCCTACTATTAAAACATTGATTTCTTTGTGCGACATAAATTGATAAAACAATCTTACTTACCATAGTCTACAGTATCTGAAAAAAAATCTTAAAAAATAATCAACCGCGCGGTTAGTATTTTAAATTTGTAATTACATTTAATTAAACCAAAAAATCAATGAATAACTGCTATTTTTCAAGCGGAAAATAAAACTCAGAGAATATAAATCTCTTAAACAGCCGATAGGAATGAACGATAGGTGGGGCTTTTTGATAGCTGAGTATCTGAAATCGCGGTCGTCGAATATAGTGTTTTCTCTTGTTTTAAATTTGCTCATACGGGCGATTTCATTTAGTTGGGGGTCTCAAAAATCTTGTTCACCTAATTCATCTGAATTTTAGGTGCACCCCAAACAGTTTACTTATTCTTGTTAAACTGAATAGATTCGTATTTTAAAATGTATTGCTTGTTTTCTATCTGAATGCCTATAAGTTTGTTGACTACTTTAGCGATGCTTTCTTGCTTAAACTTACAATTTTTTAAGGCCATATCCCCTATAAATATCCCCGTACCATTTATTGTTTGGGTATATGGGATAATAGCTTTTGCCAATCTTAATAACATTAAATTTTGTTCTTTGAAGATTCCGTGTATGCGGCTTCCCTGGCTGCAGTATCCCGTGTGGAACAGGCTTTGAGTGAAGCCGCCAGCTCACTTAGTTCGTTTACCCAGCGTCCTGGACCCCGACGACCCTGGATGCTCCAGATTGAGGTGCGTATATAGATAGATGGATATTTCCTCAATATGAAGTGAAATTTGGAGAAAAAAAATATAAAATTTGGTGTATCGTATCCGCTTTAGATCTGGCTGTTGCTGGCTGATGTCTATCTGCGCATCGATCAGCCCAACGAGGCACTCAACTGCATACACGAAGCTTCACAGATATACCCTCTTTCGCATCAGATCATGTTTATGGTACGTTCTTGAAGTGTGTGTTGTGTTCAATGGATGGAATACCTAATACCAAATAAACACTGAACATTTTACTCACAAGCTTACATAATACAATTCAATCCCACTGCAACCCATTAAATTATTAATTTTAGCGCGGCCAGGTGCACGTATATTTGGAGCAATGGTTTGACGCTAAGCAATGTTTCCTAAATGCTGTAGCCGCTAACCCCAATCATACGGAAGCTTTGCGCGCCCTGGGGGAGGCCCATTTGATAATGGGCGAACCGCGGCTGGCTGAGAAGATGCTTAAGGATGCGGCTAAGCTGGATCCAAGCTGTCCCAGGATTTGGTAACATCTGAGAAATTTTATTTTGCTCAAAAACCTCGAATGATAGTCTTGAACTTAACAGGTTCGCTTTAGGCAAGGTAATGGAGATCTTGGGCGATTTTCATGTATCCGCCGATTGCTTTGCCACATCGCTGCAACTAGAGCCGTCATGCCCGGTGTTACCCTTTACTTCAATACCGTTGGTCTTTGAATAGGAACCATTAGTGTCCCTCTTTTGATTTGTGTGGAGTAGATTTAACTTTAAATAACCTCAAAGTGAACAGCAATATACTATACATATATATACTACACATACACATATACCTACCTAAACCTTCAGAAGTTAAAGTTCTAATTAATAACTTCTTTATAACTAAATGATTGGAGTGTCGCCCATGTCTCTTGGCTTTTTTTAATGTTTTTTTTTAAACGACATAAAAACTTAAGACTTTTCAATTTTTTACCATATATTTATTTTTACAAAAGTAAATTTAAAAAAATATTTGAGTTTTAAAAAATGGCCATCTTTTTGTTGTACAGTTCAAACTAACGCAAAAGTAAGGTAAAAGGTAGCCAAAATTAAGCAGCATTTTAAGTTAGATGAATGTAGTATTTGTATGAACTAAACCACTAGCCGTGGTCCGATTTTAATAATTTTTGGCATGTACATATGTATTGATAATAGAAACAAATATGTTTACAAAATATTAAAAAATGTGGGCGCTAGACGGGATTTAGTGTTATAGTCGTTTGCGGGGATTAGAGTGGGCGTGGCACCCTGCTGAAACAAACTTGCGCTTATAATTTACGAGATCTCAGCGTTCATACGGACATGGCTAGATCGACTCTGCTAGTGATCCTGATCAAGAATATATATACCTTTTGGGGTCAGAAACGCTACTTTCTACCTGTTACATACTTTCCGACGAATCTAATATACCCTTGTACTCAACGAGTAACGGGTATAAAAATATATTTGGACTTTTGCTAAAAAAATGTTTTGATTTTTTGAAACCGAGACATGGGTGAACCCTCTGAGTAGCAAGTGTTTTAATATTGTTTGTGAGTAATTGAAATCCCTGCATGAATTGACAGAATGTTTTGATCACAGCGGTGAACTCACTTAGAAATAGGAACTTTATGTATCCCTTTTGATTTCCAAGATGCTTTGAATTATATCGGCTCTTTTCTTTGCAGTATTTTATTATTTAACACTTAATATATTTATTATAACACTTTAAACTCTAAGAATAATTAATGAGGAGGAAGTTAAATTGAGCAACCGTACCGATCTAAAATATAAAACAATTAAGAAATTTGAATTCACTAGAAGAGGTGGCCCAACGTGTAAAGAATACCTACTTCATAAACACGAATCGAATCGTACGTCGAAATCGAATGCGATTTCGGAAACATATTGAAAAATGTATTACGGGTTTTTTTACTTTTGTCATGGAGACTGGATCACACTGTAAAATGTTGCAAAAACTAAAATATCTCGCACTGTGTTGATTCATGCAGGGCTTTACTGTAAATTATTAGCTAGAAATGTTCAAGTTGATGATATAAAATTAATAAAAACGAACCGACATAGACTTACAATCTAAGACCCAGTACTCTTTTGGATAAAAAATCCTAGAAACCAATATTACTTTAAAAAAAAATACAAGCGCCTAATTTTACGAAAGATATGCACGCATATTTTCGCTTCGCACACACAAAAGTATTTGTAAAAACGAAGAATATTTGTAAAATGGACAATTCGATGTTCGGGGACCGGTTTTGTATAATATTGGTCAGTTTTACAAATAGATATTTTTGTGTGCAGGATTTTTGATTAAATTTGTATGTCACTCTCCGTAATAATGGTGATGGGTATGGTTAATGTGAGAGTAAACTGCTACAATGGTAATTTCAGTTAATCCACGCGATGATAACTTGTATAAATAAGAGAACAAAGTCTTGTTGAGTTAGATTCATATAGTACCGTGAATCCTTATGAACTAAGACAGAAGTGTATTCAAGAAAAAGCTCGACCAGCTGTTATACATTCCAGTTGCTCTTATACTAAACATAACAAGGTTCTAACAGAATATTTATTTTATTACTTCGTGAAATGTTAATTATTGCTTAAATATTGTTTGATTTATAGGTACATATATACTGCTTAGTAAAATTATATAATATACATATATATAACCAAAAATCAGGTCATTATTTTAATTGCATTGTAATAACCGAAATGCTATTTAAACATTTTTAAGGTCCGTTGGTTGAGTAAGGGTTTTCACAACAAATGTGCTTGGGGGCTACGCATCCAAAAGTCTCCTGACATTGGCTAGCAAAACGTATTTTGTGCAATTGCAATTGTCAACATTTCCCAAGGGGGAACCACAGTTTTGAAGGTGCGAAAAACGGCTCACAAAACATCATACGAACAGTTTTGAGAAAGCTTATATCCAAGGTTATAAAATAAAAACTAAAAGCAACTTAAAAAAAACAAGGAAGAACGCTATATTCGAGTACCTCGACTATCAGATACCCGTTACTCAGCTAAAGGGACCAAAGGGAAATGGAGATATGCAAGCAGCAGAGCGAGATTGAAATGCGCCACCACCTACCCGCGATCATAATATATGGTAATGTGGGCGGTAGACAGATTTAGGCGTTGGAGTGGGCGTGGCAAATTTTTTTTGGATCAATGAATAGGTATTGACGAAACAGATACATTTCAGTTAACATTTTGTATCTAGCATGAAAATTGTGGGCCCCACAGGCTTGGGTGGCTTGTGGGCGTGGCATATTTGCATAACAAACTTGCTCTGCGTACAAGGCTACGGAATCTAAATCTGAGATGCCATTTCTCTATCCTTGATAGTTTCCGAGATATCCGCGTTCATACTTACGATTTTTTGAAGTTTGTGGGGGGTTTATTGACGTTAAGTGGGCGTGGCAAACATTTTTTCGATAGGTAAAATAGTTAAAATTTTTATTCTAGCATCAAAACTGTAAGAGCCAGTTTTGGGCGGTTCGTGGGCGTTATAGTGGGCGTGGCACATTGCTGAAACAAACTTGCGCTGCGCAGGAATCTGCATGCCTAATCCCAGTATTGTAGCTCTTATAGTTTCCGGGATCTTTACTGAAATGTATTGTTCTCGTCAATACCTATCGATTGACCCAAAAAAAAGTTTGCCACGCCCACTCTAACGCCCATAACGTTTAAATCTGTCTACCGCCGGTAGGTGGCGCATTTCAATCTCGCTCTGCTGCTTGCATATCTCCATTTCCCTTTGGTCCCATTAGCTGAGTAACGGGTATCTGATAGTCGAGGTACTCGACTGTAGCGTTCTTCCTTGTTTTTAGATTTATTTATTGGATTAAAATTTAAGATAAATTTACTAAGCAAAATCATTCTGCGTTTTTATTGATTTTTTGTTTTTATAGACATTTTAAATTAATTTAAAAATAAAAAAAGGTTTCTTCTATTTATTTTTAAAACGTTTATGTTCAGTTGACTGCATACCACTTTTGCAAGACCTTTTATTTTGGACATCAGGTAATTGACGACGATAGTTTCCACATCTGTGCCAAAAGCCTAAAACAGACCTCTATAACTGCCAAGGAGTTTATTTTAGGTTGGGGTTGCTTTCGGCTTTTGGGATTGTGCCGTTGCCCAGGACAACTAGCATATGTCCAATCAATGGAAAAATAAATAAAACAAATGTCGCTGTGGAGCAGGCACAGGAATTCGGCTTGATTACGCCAGTCATAAAAAAGAAATACCGAGACATCTATTTTGTGTGCCAGTTTAAAGTTTGACCCCGTTGGTTTGCGTCCACTACTCCTGATGGGTGATTAGTTCCACAAAAATAATGACTCCTAAACGAAAGCGTCGCGGGCGCAGCGAGGCGCGGACCAGAAGCAAATCCAAAGGACAGACGGAGGCGAAGCACTTGCAACTGCTCGAGGAGCTGGATTTGGCGGACAGCTGCTGCGAAATCTGCCATTGCGACTGCTACAGCTCCCACACCAGCGCTTCCGTGAGTGGGCGCGGCAATCAGGTGCAAACGAGGGAGGAGTTGGTGCAGCTGGACAAGGAAATTCAGGCCTTGGAGCAACTACACCGGCGGGAGAGTGGCAAGTGTAAAAGAAGTGCCAGCAGCCAAAGCCTCAGAAGTGCTTCCAGGTCGCCAACAGAGGGAAAGTCCCCCCACAGCAGGCAGGGATCTTCTGACTGCCAGAAAGGGAACACAGGCTCTGGCAGAAGTCGGAGGTCAAAAAGCGCTGGTAGCCGCGAGAGTGAGTCCCGAAAAAAGCCCTCACAGGATAAAACAAAACCCATTCCTCAGGATCGCCGACGGCACATTGGTCAAAGAGATTGCAGAATGCTTCAAGTAAGTATGCTCGGTAAAAACGAACTCCCAGTAAATATGTTGTTTTGGTTTTCCCATGATTTCTAATAGCAATTTTCTATGGCTTGACTGTTGGTTTCTATTATTGATTACGCTAAAATCACATTTTTTTGACGGAAATTCCCTTTGATTTGAGAGTTTGAAAGATAAGGAGATTTATAATGCGGACGGTATTTAAATAAGCTTATGATAGGGGATTTGGTTGACCATTTAAAGGTAAATAATTTAATATTCAATACAAAAATTGCGTAATTTTTTTAGCACATGGGTGCACCACAAATTACTGTGGGTTTGGAATCACTTTTAAGTGTCATTTCAGTTGTAGTTAAATAGAAAAGTCTTTTTGAAGGAATTCATTGTACTTCTGAGTCTAAGATATTCAGTTGCATACTTTTAGACACCTAAAGTGATCTTTAAAAGGGCTTTAAAATATTATATTAATTAAATATTAAAATATTATTAATATTATATTTTACGACTAGTGACAAGTAAAAATAGTGTAGCATACTTTAAAAAAAAATTAAAAAGTAAATAAAAACCTAAATTTTAGCTTAATTTTGTACATCTTAAATTTTCTTCAGCGATTTCTGGCCCCCCCGATAGACGCCCCCGCTCTGTCAATCATTGGACGGGCCAAGTCAAAGTCGCAGAACAATATAGCCCTGGTGCCAAGCCAACCGCAAGCCAAGAAAAGTTCGCTGTGCACCTCGATGGCAAACTTGTGTCTTGAGCCCACGGTGAGGGCCGCTTTCCAGCAGGTGCCAAGTCACGACCAGAAGATCCTTAATTGTATGGCGGAAAAGCGGAACCAGCAGGCCGCCGACAAAGAGACGGCCTGGCTAGCTCGTAAGTTCTGGGAAAACGAACGACTGGAGCGGCAGCTTCTCCGGGTGGAGCAACTGGAGGCGTACAAGCAGGCGATTCACGACAAACAGTTCCAGGACTACCTGGTAACCAAGGCGCGTCTGCAGTCATTGGCTGAAAGGGATCTAGCGGAACTAAAGCGATTGCGTGGGGCGCTCCACGCCAAGGACGCTGCGGCCAAAAAGCGGCTGGAAGCCAGGCGGCTAGAACGGGATCTCAACTTCTGCCAGCGTCGGTGCGAGGAGTTGCGTCGCAGTGAGGCCGTCACTGTGCACCAGGAGGAGCAGCACTTGGACGAAACGTTGCGCAGGCGGGACATATGCATGCGGCTCACGCAAAAGCTGCGTCGGGCGGGCGAGTTGCGAGGCCAGTTCCTGGAGGCGTATCTGAAGCGGATGCAGCACGACAACTTCGTGGAGCAGGCACACCATGAGGAGCAATGGCGGGAGCGACAGCAGGAGGAACGACTGAGAAGGGATCAGCTGCGCGAGGACATTGAGCGCAAACGTCATCAGTCCCAGCGCTTCGTCGAGTGTCGCCAGCGTCGGCAAGATGAC